CGTGATCAAACTGCACCCCCACACGCATCGCTTCTTCACGAGCACGCAGTCTGCAGACGGCATGCAGGTATGGGCCGGATGCCGCACGCAGGCCATCTTCAGCGACTTCCAGTCCCAGTCGCAGCTGCAAGAAAACGCCATCTTCTGCGAGGTGGCGGACCTTTCACAACTTTTTCACATCATGCGCCAGGCAGAGCGCTGCCCAAACGTCACCATCAAACTGACGAAGAATGCGGCGAGAAGGCCGGCGCTGCGTGTCTCGATGCAGGGCGTCCGCCCGCATCTTGACATCAGCCACGACGTGCCAGTGCGGGTGCTTAGCGAGCTGGAAGTGCGGAATATCAGCGCCCCTCCCCTCGAGAGCGAGGTGGTGCAAATTGTTTTGCCGTGCCTCGCGGAGCTGTCAAAGTTTGTGGACAAGGTCCGCTCCACCTCGTGCGATCGCATGACGTTCACAGTGAGGGACAACGAGCGAGCGGATGGCGCTGCTGCTACCAGCTGCACTCTGGTGGTTCTAGCCGAATGTTTCCTTGCCAGCTTTGCTCTGAAGTACAGCTCCGTGCAAAAGTGCGAGCGCGAGGGTGAGAATGACGCCGGTTTTGATGGCGAAGGCGATGGTAATGGCAGGGATAAGCCGAAGCACCGCGACGATACGTCGATGGCTTACGCTTCAGTGTCGGTGGAGGTGAGACGGTTTGCGCGGTTTCTTGCAATCAAAGAGGCGACACCCCTCCAGGTTGTGCTGCATCTTGTGGATGGGAAGGCCGTTGTTCTAAGCGTTTTTGCGTCAGGTGGCACAACGCTCGTTGGCTACATGCCTGCCGTGGCGCAATAATCTCCGCCTTTGCGCTGCTGCTTCTTGCAATTACGGGGGAATTGGCATTCGTTGTCGTTCGACTCCATGTGCTGCATTGTCTCTCCTCGTTCTGTGTGTATGCGTGCACACCCGACATACACGTGCATATGTGTTTATTGTCGCATAAAAGAAGCAGCTCATTCATAACTTCCCGAGAGAGCGGAGGGGAAACATGTTTTACCTCCGCGTGCATTATCGCCTTTTTTGTTGTTGTTGTTTTTCTGGGTGTGATACATCAGGTGGTGTGTGCTGTTTCGAAGTCTTGCCTTTCTTCCCCTGCCTGTTTGTTTTCCGTCCGGTGTGGCACTGCGGTGCACGGGCGAAGTAGTCGGTTGGATCCTTTTGTGGTACGTCGCGTCTCACGCTTTGCTGCGCCGTTGGTTTGTGGAGGACGAAATTGCGCCACGACGCGTGGGCATGATGCCAGCCGCACAGAGCGCAAGGAGGACGTTGTGACGCCGTGGGGTGTTGCCGCCACGGGCCCAAGGGGTGGGGACGATGGCCGCGTCCTCGCACGATTCAGGTCGGAGCCCGTTGATGAGCCCCTTCTGCAGCGGCTGGAGGAAACATGCAACGGACGGGGGGAGCACGCGCAGGCAACCAGCACCGCACAAGAGGAGGCGGGACGAATGGCATTGCACCATTTTTTCCGCCGCGGCATCGTCCTCTCCCACAGGGATTTTGGAGCCGCCATTGACTGCGTGCGTGCGTCCTTTGCGACGGGGACACACCGCGCGTACTTGTACACTGGTCGTGGACCGAGCGCGCGGTCGATGCACATTGGCCATGTCATACCGTTTTTATTGACGCGGTACCTGCAGGATGCGCTCGGTCTTCCGTTGGTGATCCAGATAACCGATGATGAGAAGCACTTCTTCCGCGACATTCCCGTCAGCGGGGAGAGGGCGAGCGGGTTGGTGGTGGAGAACATAAAAGACATCATTGCCTTTGGCTTCGATCCACGCAAGACATTTATATTCCGCAACACGGTGTACATGGGGGACATGTACCCAACTGTCGTGCAGGTGCAGCGCATGTTGACGCTGAGCGCTGTGAGGAATGCATTTGGCCTGAAGGATAGCGACAATGTTGGGAAGGCAGCCTTTCCAGCGGTGCAGGCCGCACCGTGTTTTAGCAGTGCCTTCCCCCGTGTGCTACGACGGCTAGCTGGGGACCCGCCGCTGAAGTGCATCATTCCCTGTGCAATTGATCAGGACGCTTTTTTCCTCCTGGCACACAACGTCGCGCCGCGTATGAAGTGCTGCGCCCCCGCACTGCTGCACACAAAGTTCCTCCCCGCACTGAAGGGAGCGCAGTTCAAGATGAGCAGCAGCGCCGGGGAGAACGGAGTCATCACACTACACGACACGGAGCAGGAGGTGCGGAAGAAGGTGCGCAAGGCCTTCTCTGGTGGGGGTGGCACGCTGGAGGACATGCGTGCGGAGGGCGTCAACCTGCACGCAGACGTGGCGTACCGACTCATTCGGTTCTTCTGCCCCGACGACAATCTCCTCGCGGAGGTGACGTCGAAGTACAGCAGGGGTGAGATGAGCAGCGCCGAGGTAAAGGACCTCGCCGCGGATGTCGTTGTGCGGCACGTCTTGTCGGGGTGGCAGGCGCGGCGGGCTGGCGTCACAGATGCCGACGTGGAACACTTCTCCGGCATCCGCAGCATTCTCCT